CCTCCTCCTCCTCCTCCTCCTCCTCCTCCGCCTCCCTGTTCTCCTCCTCCTCCTTCCTGTTCTCCTCTTCCTCCTTCCCCATCTTCGAACCCCCCGATCCTGGGCCCAGGCTTGGTCTGGCCAGGGTCGGTGCGCGGACGGCGCCCTCGGGCCAGAGGCCGCTCAGAAGCGCGGTGTCCTTGGAACCCTCCCCCAGTCCATACTTCAGGGGGCTCTGGGACACACACACACACACACACACACACACACACACACACACACACACACACACACACACACACACACACACACACACACACACACACACACACACACACACACACACACACACACACACACACACACACACACACACACACACACAGAGAGAGAGAGATAAATGCACACAAATACCAATATTTCCCATATGTTCCCGTATTTTCTGGGGAGGCGACGATTGATGGTGTCTGTGTGTTTTTCCTCCCTCCTGACCCCAGCCCACAACGGCCGGCCGTCCGAGCTGCGCCCAGCCGTGGCGACTTGGGGGGGCCCGTCCGAGGGCAAAACAGACGAGGCTCGCTGAGCACGCTCTGACTCCTCGGGCCCCGAAGGGTTGGCGCCTCTTTCTCCTCCTCGATCTTCTGTTTGTCTTCCATGTGGGCGTCATCCTCCGCTCGGCTGCACGCCAAAGCGACCCTAGTCAAGAGTGACCTTTTGTGGTGCGCGGCTTTCGGGGGGCATGGGGGGGCCAAACCCAAGCGCTCAAGCCGCTGTCGCATCGCATTCAACGATCGGGGGACCCTGGTGGGCCCGCATCAGAGGTCACTCCGGCGAAGGGCCACTCTTATGTGCAACCGATCCTTCCCGTTCTCGCGGTGCTCCGCGAAGGTCTGCGAGCCCCAGGCCTTTTCTTCTCTCCCCGCCCACAGGATGATCTGCTCGACGCTCGGCCGGAGAGTTGGCAGCGCATCGACGTCCAGGTCGGCGCGCCCCTTCTGGTCCTCGTCGTCGGGCACGTGGGGGTTCGTCAGGCCCTTCGCGTGAAGGCCCCTGGACGGCGGCGTCATCATGCCGATGGTGTCGTCTGCCTTGATCGCGCTGACGGGTTTGTAGAGCTGGCCGCAGTTCTCCCACGGGATAACCAGGCTGCTGCCAGCCTTCTTGCCACACCAGAAGTTCGGACCAAGGTTGACCTGCACCTGGAGACCATCGTGCATCGAAATCGCGGGCACGAGGCCAGGCTCCGCGTAGACCGACAGGTCGACCTCCTCCTCCGCCTCGTTCAGAAGCTTGCCGTCCAGCGTCCAACGCATTACAGCCTTGCTCTCGGTGATGGAGCACGCGACGCCGATGACACATCTCTCTTCCCACTTCGGAAGAGGATTCTCTGGCCTTGGCCCAAAACGCTTGCCGTTGAACTTTATGACGCCGTAGCCGGGCATCTTCGGGTTGCTGCCCTCGTAGCCCCAGGAGAAGCGGTCGTCGCCGACACCCTTCATCAGGTGGTCTCCGGAGAACGTCGGGGTGCTCCACCCGATCGATGCCGGCCCCCCCCTCTTCGCCACCTCCTGCTCGTCAAGGTCCCTCTGGAAGTAGAGCATCTGGGCGAGCTCGCTGGGGGTGCGGGCGAATATGCGGCAAATCTTCACCTCGTAATAGAAATTGCCGCTGAAGCAAGGTCTGGTCCCACGAACGACGGGCCGGTGCTTGAGCGCCACGACGTTGAAGCCCTTGTGGCTCACCAGGGGGGCACTCGGCGCCGGCGCTTCCGAGGAACCCGCCGCCTGAGGCTCCGGCTCTGCGATCCTGGAAGAGGCGAGCATCGTTCCAGCGATCCCCCGTCACCCCTCTCCTCCTCCCGCGCCCGCTTCCTCCGCGCTCCTCCTCCTCCTCCTCCTCCTCCTCCTCCTCCTCCTCCTCCTCCTCCTCCTCCTCCTCCTCCTCTCTCGCCCCTGATCCCTCCCCTGCTCGTCCCCATTCCCCTGACTCTTAAGTCGGGCCTGTCCCCCTACAGGGGGACCTTCAGCGAAAAATCAGACATACCCCAAAAATAATCCAAAAATAGTCTGGGGACTATGTTTGGAGTATTTTTGTTGGCCCTTGGGAGGTATTTATGGGATATCCTTAATCTTTCGACGAACATCCCCCCTGTAGGGGGACAGGCCCGACCTAACCTGGCTCCTCTGCCTCCCAGGACGGCCTCGGGCGCCTCGGCCGACTCCCCCCTGGGGCCGGGCCCTGTGCTCGAAGGGCCCGGCCGCCGCCCCCGGCCGCTCCCCAGCGCGAGCGGGATCGGCCGCTGATCGCCCCCCCCCGTCCACCCCGAGGGGCAAGTGGGCGAAAAAACACACAAAACACACACACACACACACACACACACACACACACACACACACACACACACACACACACACTGTGGGAAAACACACACACACACACACACACACAGTGGGAAAAAGCACACAAGACATACAAAACACACACACACACAATCTGTGGGAAAAGACATACAAAAACACACACACACACACACAGTGGAAAACAAGCGCACACACAATGGAAAAAAAACACTGATGGAAAAATCACGTAATTCCCACAGACTTTGTGTTTTTGTGTGTGCGTGTGTTTTTCCCATGCACAGTGTGTTTTTTTCCCACGGGTGTGGGGTGGTGCTGCTATGGCGCCCTCGTGGGGGTCGACGTCGTCGTCGTCGCCGTCGTCGTCGTCGTCGTCGTCGTCGTCGTCGTCGCCGCCGTCGTCGTCGTCGTCGTCGTCGTCGTCGTCGTCGTCGTCGTCGTCGTCGTCGTCGTCGTCGTCGTCGTCGTCGTCGTCGTCGTCGTCCCGTCTGGGCATGGCGGGGGCCGCGGGACCCGCGCCCTCTTCTGGGGCGGGGCCGCGGGCCTGGAGCCCGGGGGCACGCATGCGAAGCGCGGTGCTCCCCTCGGGCCTCGCGCTGCCTGCCCTGAGATCCGATGTCGTGCTTTTTTCCATACGGGGCCCCCTGGAAGTCTCGACCCATTCATTCCCCAGGACGGGTTTCTCATCCTGAGTCGCTTTCTGACGGTCCCGAGGCCCGGCGAGGGCCCCTAGAAGCCGAAGACGGCGAAAAACCTCCGTCTTGATTTTTTCAATACGTTGGATCTCTGGGTATCCCCATCTGGGGGAAGGGCTGGCAGGGCTGAGGTGTCATGGCTCAGCGGGCATGGGGATCGGTCAGACGATGCTCGGGAGAAGAGAGACGGGCCTGACCACAACCTTCTGGGGCCCCGCGCAAACTCCACGGACGGCGCCGGGACTCCCCAGACTTCCGACGCCGTGCTTCCCTGTCCGCGTGGGCCCCAGCTTGTCCACGCCACTTCCACATGGCCCGCTCTTCACCGTGAGCCGCTTGCGAACGGTCCCGGGTCCCAGCAGAGGCCCCCGGAGACCGAGTCGGGCCAGCAGTCTTCCGTCGTCGTCTTGTCGCAACGAGAGGAGGCAGGGGGCCCCGCTGTTCTGCTCTTGCGCGGGGGGCGCGCCAAGGGCGGCACAAGAGGCGCCGCAACGGGGGGGGCTCCAGCGCCGATGTCCACGAAACCGGCTGCGGAACTATCGGGTGCGCGCCGAAGAGGGGGGGGAGACGAGGGGGGGCCGAGAAGACGAGGGTGCAGGGTACGTAACTGGAAGTAGAAGGAGGGGGTAACATCTGGGGCACTACGCATACACACAAGCACACACACAAAGACACACACACAACGACAGTCACGCATGCTCACACACAGGCACGTACGCACAATCACAGACACACACACACACTCACAAACATACATACAAACACACGCACACACATATACAAGCACAGCCATACACAAAACACACAGGCACAGACAAACACAGACACACACAGATACACACACTTTTGAACGTTCGCGGGATGGAGCCATTCCATGCCGGATCAAGTCGGCCGACGCGCGCGCTGGTGGAAAAAGGAACTGGCCGGGCCCTCAGGGGGCAGTGGCTGGGCAAGAAAGGCAGCGAAAAGACACACACCCACGGACGCACGCACGCACGCACGCACACCCGCACACACAGAGAAACCACACACACAGAACACACACACACCAACACCCGACACACAGAAAACACACAGACACACAGAAAACACACACACACAAAAAAACTACACACCGAAAACACACACATGGAAAACACACAAACACACACAGAAAACACACACACACATAACATACACACACTCACAGGAACACACACAAACACACACATAACAAACAATATATATATATATATATATATACATAACACAGAAAGCACACAGACAAAACACACACACACACCACACACAGGAAAACACACACACAAACAGCACACACAACACACACACAAAGCACACACACAGAAGATACACACAAAGACAACACAGTCACACAGACAACACCCACACAGAGAAAACACATACACGCACACAAACAGAAATCACACACACGCACACATATAACACACAACCACACACAGCAAACATACTCACAGAGAACACACACAGAAAACACACAAGCACGCACACACACACACACACACACGCAAAGAACAGCCACACAGAAAACACGCAACCACACACAAAGAGAAACCACACACACATACAGAAACCGGACATAGCCACACACACATAGAAGACACACACGCACACAGAAAACGCACAACCACATACACAGAAAACAAACAAACACACAAGCACAGAAGCACGCACAGACAGAACATACAGTCACACACAGAAAGCACACAAACAGAGAAACCACACACAGAACACACACACAATCACACACACACGCGGAGAAACCACACAGACAAACACACACACACACACATACACGTACAAATAAAACATACACAACACACACAGAGGAAACACACACACAGAACGCACACACAGACCACACGCACAGAAACTACAAACATAACACACACTGAACATACACACGAACACGCAAACACACTCACACACAAACAGAACACACACACACAGAAAACACACGCACACACAGAGAAAACACACAGAACACACACACAGACACCCATGCAAACACACAGAACCCACATACACACAGAGAAAACACACACACAGAAAACACACACAGAACACACACACACACAGACAACACACAGAAGCACACACAAACACACACACACACACACACACCACACACCACACACGACACACGAGAGACGACACACGACACACGACACACACACAGACACACGCACACGCACACGCACCCCCTCTTCGCCGCCCCAAGCCTCCCAGGGTGCGTGCTCGTACCGAGCTTCTCTCCTCCGAGGTCCTGACCCTGCGCGCTGGCTCGTCGGCCTCCCCCGCGCCCTCCGGCCCGACGCCCTGCTCGTCCTCTGGCTCGGGCTCCTGCGCCGCCGGCCTGGGCTCGAAGCCCACCAGGGGGGCGCCAGGGCCCTCCAGCCACGCGTATTCCTCGGCATCGTCAGGCCGATCCCTCCCATCCCCCACCCGGAAATCCTCCTCCTCCTCCTCCTCCTCCTCCTCGTCCTCCTCGTCCTCGTCCTCCTCCTCGTCCTCCTCCCCTCCTCCTTCTTCGACGTTCGGTGAATTCGGCTGAGATCGCAACGCCAGGATGGTATGAGAGCGGCAGGGCATTGAATCCGCCTGAGGCGGTGTGGTCAATAAGCTCAACTGCAAGCAAGTGCGGACACCCTCTTCCTCCTCCTCCTCTTTATCATCATCATCCCCCCTCTCCTCCTCTTCTCCTCTTCTCCTCCTCCTCCTCCTCCTTCTCCTCCTCCTACCCGAACCCTGAACCCAACACACATGTCATCTCTTGGAGGGCTCCTCGTCCTCCCAATTTCCTCATGGTCCTCCTCCTCCTCCTCCGCCTCCTTCACCTCCTCCTTCTCCTCCTCCTCCTCCTCCTCCTCCTCCTCCCGCTTTCCCGCCTCCCTCCCTTGGCCCCGCTGGCCGGCCTGCCCCCCCGTAGGCTGCGGGGGGGCAGGTTGAATGAGCAAACGGCGGCACACACACACACACACACACCCTGTAGGGGGACAGGCCCGACCTAACCTGGCTCCTCTGCCTCCCGGGACGGCCTCGGGCCCCTCGGCCGACTCCCCCCCGGGGCCGGGCCCTGTGCTCGAAGGGCCCGGCCGCCGCCCCCGGCCGCTCCCCAGCGCGAGCGGGATCGGCCGCTGATCGCCCCCCCCCGTCCACCCCGAGGGGCAAGTGGGCGAAAAAACACACAACACACACACACACCACACACACACCACACACACACACACACGACAACTTTCACCGTCTTCGCCGCGTTTCGCGGTATCCGTCCCTCGAGTAGGAGATCGACTGCAGAATGGATGTCCCCCCCAGATCTCCGACTCGACGAACGTCTATTCTTCGTAGATCTACAAACATTCTACGCACTTTACGCAGATCCGAAGATTTTTCGATTCTGGGGTAAATCAATTCTGTAGTTTCCCAATCAGTGCTTGCACTGAAGGGGTCCTCGCGGATGTTGAAGGATTTGGCGAAAGTGCCCCGCCGATTTTGGTCGCACGCTGAGTTCCCGGGTTCCTGGGTTCCCGGATCCGGGTTCCCAGGTTCCCGGATCCAGGTTCCGGGCCGATTTCGGAGGGCGGCGAGGTTGCCGGGTTCCCGGGTTCCTGGTCGATCTTCTTATCGATTGGTCTCACCATCAATATCATTACCGACTTCTCGACCGATCTCACCATCGATCTCACAATCGATCTCACTATCAACATCTCACAAGCGATCTCACTAGAGATCGCATGAGCGATCTCGCGATTGATCTCACTATCGATCTCATTGGATCGATGTCACTCTCTGTCTCACGATGGACCTTACAGTCATCCTCCCTATCGGTTCCACGATCGATCTCATTATCGATCTCACAATCGATCTCATCATCGATCCCACTATCGATCATCCTCCCTATCGATTCCACTATCGATCTTACAATCGATCTCATGATCGATCCCTCGTATCAATTTTCAAATCATCCACTGATTGGGTTTTTCTCGGGTGTTACAGACCTCCTGCTCGACTCCCCGCCCGGGGGGGTCGGCTCGTGGCGAGACAGCAGACACGCACCCGAAACGAGATCGTGCGATGGGAGATCTAGGGGGAACACCTTTCGACGACCTCTGAAGGGATGCCGGGCTGCCCCCCCCGGGTCTCTGGCGTGTTGGAAGCGACTCGAAGGAGGAGGCGGAGGAGGATGAGGAGGAGGTAAGGGAGAGGGGGGAGGATGAGGAGGAGGAGGGACAGGGGGGAAGAGGAGGAGGCAGAGGGCGGAGGACGAGGAGGAGGAGGAGGAGGAGGAGAAGGAGGAGGAGGAGGAGGAGATGAGAGATGATCGTGGAGCGCCCGCTGGCAAGCCACTTCCTCATCCGGCGTGCCCGCGGTTCGTGCTCCGACGATCTGCTCGTGGGCTCCTGACGCCGCGCGGATGGTGCCAGCTCGAACGGCCGGCAGCTCTCCGATGGCCGGGCAGTCCCATGCCTGACGATTCTGGGCCACTGGCGACGATCAACCTTGAACGCCCGTGGCTGGGTCGCCACCGCGTCGACACGGCACGAATCTACCATACTGTAGAAGGCGGAAGGCTAGAAGAATAAGGCAGTCCGCGTGGATTTCTCGGATCGGCGCCGACACCCCCTCCCTGGCGTGTCGAGCGCGCCACGGGCGGCGCCGGATGCGCCACCAGGGGGGGCCCAGCGCCGATCCAAGAAAGAAGCGCGGAACTCCGTTTCTATTTTCCACATGCTGTAAGGTCCTCGGAACTCTGGGCCACCTTCCTGGGACCGGATTGTCGTTCCCCACATGTTTTGACGGTCGCGGGGCCCAGAGAGGGCCCAGGTCGGAAAAATATGAATAACCTCAATCGTATTTTTGTCCAGAAATTTGAATTCTGGACTGTGGGGTGCCCTGACAATGCGCCTGCCGATGCCGAGCTCCTGCCCCGCGGAGATCACCATGATCTCTTCCGAAGCGGGGGGGAGGACCCAGAACTCCGACGCCGTGTTTTGTCACAACGGTAGCGCCCAAAGGTCAGGACCCTTTCCCTGGGACGGGCGTTTCATCGCAGGCCCTTGCTTTGCGGTCCCGGGGCCTGGCGACAGCCCGAAAGCGCCGAAAACGACGAAAAACGCCGTGACTTTATCACGACTGGGGGAGGTGGGGCGAGGAGGAGGACAAGGTGAACGAAGAGGACATGGGGGGGAAGACGAGAAGGAGGGCGACGAAGAATGGGGAATGTAGGGGGAGGAGGAGGAGGAGGAGGAGGAGGAGGAGGAGGAATTGGAGGAGATGGAGGAGGAGAAGAGGAGAAGGAGGAGGAGAAGGAGGAGGAGGAGGAGGAGGAGGAGGAGGGGGGGGAAGGAGGAGGAGGAGGAGGAGGAGGAGGAGAGGAGGAGGAGGAGGAGGAGAAGGAGGAGGAGAAGGAGGAGGAGGAGGAGGGGGGAGGAGGAGGAGGAGGAGGAGGAGGAAAAAAGGAGGAGGAGGATGAGGAGGAGGAGGAGGAGGAGGAGGAAGGAGGAGGAGGAGGAGGAGAGGAGGAGGGGGGGCGGAGGAGGAGGCGGAGGAGGAGGCGGAGGAGGAGGAGGACGTGAGGCGGGAGGAGGAGGAGCGAGGAGGAGGAGGAGGAGGAAGAGGAGCGCCCTGCCAACGGGAATTCTCATGACCTCGTCCGGGGCCCCTCCAGCGGGCCGAGCGGCCCCCCGGAGCCTGCCGCGGCGACGAGCGCGGCAGGGCGAGACTGTACTTCCGGGCGACTCCAGGAGGCAGGAGGAGGAGGCAGGAGGATAGAGGGTAGGCGTGGAGGAGGGGGAGAAAGAAGGGGGGAGGAAGCAGGAGGAGGAGGAGGTGAGGAGGAAGGGAGGGGGAGGAGGAGGAGGAGGAGGAGGAGGAGGAGGAGGAAGAGAGGAAGAGGAGGAGGAGGAGGAGGAGGAGGAGGAGAGATGGCGGCGGGATGGGAGGAGGAGGAGGGAGGAGGAGGAGGAGGAGGTAGGAGGAGTAGGAGGAGGAGGAGGAGGAGGAGGCGGAGAGGGAGGAGGAGGAGGAGGAAGGAGGAGGAGGGAGGGAGGAGGAGGAGGAGAAGGAGGAGAGGAGGAGTGAGGAGGAGGAGGAGGAGGAGGAGGAGAAGGAGGAGGAGGAGGAGGAGGAGGAGGAGGGGGGGGGGAGGAGGAAGGAGGGAGGAGGAGGAGGAGGAGGAGGAGGAGGAGGAGTAGGGATGGAGGAGGAGGAGGAGGAGGAGGAGAGGAGGAGGAGGAGGAGTGAGGAGGAGGAGGAGGAGGAGGAGGAGAAGGAGGAGGAGGAGGAGGAGGAGGAGGAGGAGGAGGAGGAGGAGGAGAAGGGGGGGGAGGAGGAGGAGGAGGAGGGATGCGGGAGGACGAGAAGGTTGAGGTGGAGAAGAAGGATGCTGAATGAATGAATGAATGAATGAATGAATGAATGAATGAATGAATGATTGGATAGCTCGTGGACCCGCCACCCCCGCGCCGACCACGCCTCCCACGACCTGTCCCTCTGCCTTTGGCCTTTGGAGCCCACTTTGTAGCGTATCTGAACCCAGACGCCGAGGGGGTCTTCAAAACCTCCTGAGTTAGAACTCCTCTCCCCACGATTTCTCAAAAGCGAGCATTACCTGGGAACACATCTTTCTCCGAGACCAAGACCCGATCTGAAGCTCACGCATCAGTGGCCCTCTCGGGGCCGCTCCGCTCAACGCCCGTATGTCCAGCAGGACCACCGCGGCGTCCTGGATCAGCAGCTGCTCCTTGCCCAAGGTCGCGGCGGCGATCAAAGGCTCGGCAATGGCGACGTTGTTCCGCCGGGCCGCTCGAGAGATGGCCCGGGCAATGGCGGGGCGACCCTGCCGCGCGAAGTCAGGAATGTCGCCCTTGCGGCTCTGGTGGGCCTCGTTGCGGGTAAGCTGAGCAGCCTCTCCCGCGCCAGGAGCTTCGCAGCTCTCTATCGGCCTTCAACGCCCATGCACGGAATAGAGGGCATGTCGTAGAGCGCCTCGCAGCGGTGCTGATAGCGTGGCACCTTCAAGATGAAAGACGGTATGGCGCGCTCGCCGAAGGGCTTGACCGTGATTTCCCTGAGCTGGAGGATGACGAGAGCATGGTCGCTGAGACGAGCGTCAAAACGGACAGCGGCCTTTCAGTGAAGAGCATGCTCAACGGTGGAGATGAAAACACCGTCGATCGTGGACGCCGTGCACGTAGCCTTGGAGAACCGCGTCGGTTGTCCTGTTAAGATTTCCGTCATCGTCCAGATTAGCTGTCTCCAGACGCTGGCATTGCGATCAGCTCTGGTGCAGGGCGTAGCGGCTGACCATGCGGCCGTGGGCGTTTCGCAGGAGTAGAGAGGCTGATCCAGTATGTTGAAGTCGCCCATGGCAGCGAAGTAGCGGTGATTTTCTTCGTGGGTCTCCGTACTCGCGTAACTGGTGTCGGAAACACGTCGATGAGAAATTTGACCATGGAATTCGCGATACCCGCTGCCGTGAACCAGGTCTGGCACACGTGGAGGACCTCCGAAGAGGTGGCGTTAGAGTGGCAGCCGATGCAGAAGATGGTGGGGATAGGTTCGCGTTCGTACTCCGCGATGCGGAAGAAATCCATTGCGGGCAGCTGTGCCTCAGCAGCGGCGAGGGTTGCCTAGATGCGCGCGATGGCCTCTCGTGCCCGCTTTTGATCAGCCTCAACTTCTCGCTGGCGTCGTTGCAGTTCGCAGAGGTCCTTTTCGTGGCCGTCCATGCGGACGTTTTGCTGGGGGACAGCGGCGCTGATGTGCGTGAAGATCTCTGACTGGGCATGCGCCATGACGGAGGCGCAGACCTTGGGGCACATCTCCTGGAGCTGTGGTTGGGTGTCATTGGATGCCCAATCCATGATTCCACGTGGTTGCTCTGAGTCGGGAGCTAGTTGTCCAGAACCTGGCGGGCCTCCGCTGCCAAGGTGCCCCATACTGCCGGAGGCAGGGGCTTGACCGGCTTGGGCGCCATGCTGATCGATGTATTGCTGCCAGGCGTCAGTGGCGAGGGATCCAACGCCATGTGGTCCTGCAGCGGGTCGTGCAGCAGCGAGGGCTGGTGGGGTGCTGTCCTCATCGTCAGCAGAAGGCTCTGTCGTACGTTCACGTGCTTGGTGGCGCGCTCCGATCCCTGTCGCGCTCGCGGCGGCGACTTTTATTCGGTGCTCTCGATCTCGGGTCGCGATCAGTACGGCTGTGGCCGTGGTTCCGATCTCGGTCACTTCGGCCGTGGCCTCGGCGTCGCCGATGGGATTCGCTGTCAGAGCTCCCCATTGCGGAGGAGGAGGAGGAGGAGGAGGAGGAGGAGGAGGAGGAGGAGGAGGAGGAGGAGGTGGAGCAGTTTATGGAAAGGCCCGCGGTGGAACGCTGGGGGGTGTCCTCAGGTGCGGAACCCTGGGGAAAACTGAGCGCTGCTGCCCGTGTTTGGGCGAGGTTGGAAGTTCAGGAGCAGGCCCCTTGAGCCAGAATGGCTACGGAGGAGGAGGAGGAGGGAGAGGAGGAGGAGCAGGAGGAAGAGGATAATCTTGCACACGGAAGACATAAACTGTCGAAGGTCCCCAGTCCTCCAACGTTCTCACAAAAATCGAGACGGACATGTCACACCGTTTTCGGCATCTATGGGCCCTCGCCGGGCCCTCGGACCGACAAATAAACGGCCCGAGGACGAACAGGCGCTCCTGGGGAGGTGGTCTGAAGCTCTTGTGACCCAGACGTCCGGCTGCTCCAATTTTTGTCGATGCGTGGGCTCCAGAGGTCTGGACCACTTCCCTGGGGCCGGTGTTTCGGCCCGGGCTGTTCTTGTTGGCGCTCCCGAGGCCTGGCGAGGGCCTCGGGAGGCCGAAAGAAAACAAGCACCGCCCGCTGCAATTTGTGCTGCTGGGGCGTCGGATCTCTGGGCGGGGAGGTGGTCCAGAGCTCGGGGGGCCCCGTTTCGAGGAAGCCAGTCGTCGGAGGACTGGCAGCTTCCGGGGGTCTGCGCGGCTTTCCTCGGCTCGGCGCGGGGCCCCCCCTCCCCCGGCCCGAGGAGCGCGCGAGTCACTGAGCGCGCTCCACTACTCGCAAACGTCAACAAGAAGCACATGTCTTCTTCGATGTAATATGTCGTGAGCCCCCCGCGGCGGATCCAGGCCATGTGCGAGTAGTCGCTTTGCGAGTAGTGGAACGCGCTCGTCTAGCGAGGGGCGGCGCCAGACGCGCCGCCAGGGGGGTCCAGCGCCGAGCCGAGAGATCTGCGCGGACCTGTGATCGAACGTTCCTGGTACGCCCCTGCTGAGAGTCGAGGACAATTGAACCCCAAACTAGACTTCACGCGAAACGTGTTCTCGAACAGCAGTGCAGGTCCAGGCAGATGAACGCTCTATGAAGAGAAGGCGCCCCGAGAGTTACGCCCAGGGTCCAGTCCAGAGTCTCCGCATTCCTACACGAAGTCAGGAGTCCATGAAGGCTGCCGCTTTTTCCTGAAGATCTCTGATCGTGTGTGCGCGTGTTCAGGACCCGGACATGCGACGTCCTGATTTTTGCCCAGGACCGCGTCCCCAGAAGTCCCGACCCTTTCCCCCGAGGCTGGCTTCTCATCCCCGAATCATTTTTTGGCAGTCCCGCGGCCCGGGGAGGGGCCACCGAGCCGAACACAATGAAACATCTGCCGCCCTCATTGGTTTTACGACGCGATCATGTCTGGGGATGGCGCCGATTTCTCTTCCCCGAGCCTCTCTGCCTCGGCGGCTCGAGAATTTTTTGGGACCACAAGCATGTTGCCAGAGAGAATGAGCAGCGCACCAGCAGACGATTGAGGGAGGGAGGCAATTACTCGTGTGGCACCACTCTGCCGCGAGGGGTGCCTGGCATCCTCGGCGGCAGCGCCTCCGTAACTTGCACAACAGACGAGGAAGGAGGAGGAGGAGGGCGACGAGTGAGCCTGTGTACTATTGCGGGTGATCGGCCAGACCACGCCTCGGACAATACCTGGTGGCGCCTCGCGGTGACCCGCAGGCGAGCCTCGAAGTGCTCGGCAGGGGAGCCAGCGCAAGAGAGGCGACGGGTATTGTGGGCGGCTAGGAAAGCATCACAGCATGCAGCACGCAGAAGGCAGACATGAGGAGGTTCGCGGAAGAGGAGGAGGAGGAGACAGAACCAGCACGGTCGTTCGCCACTGGGTCCATGGATCGGTCCAGAGTGAGACTCCAAATAAGGGCCCAACCAGAATTTCAGGAGGCCCTGAAGCCCAGGGCAGGAACAATAGTGGTCAATCGAGTCCAGGTCTTTCCCAGGGGATGGCAGAACGCACTTAAAGAGACAACCGGCAGCCTGACAGTGCAATCTCGCACTCGTGTAAAAAGAGGCAGTCAGTAACCGTAGTGGGGCAACGCCAATATACATCGAGGCGTCTTTCACAACACTCTTCACATTCAAGCGGAAGTCGGAGATCATTGAGGCTCCAGCTTCTGGAATAAAATACTGGGCGCGCCTGAGCAGGATAGATGTGGCCGTCTCCGTGGGGGTAACCTTGCGGATATGAGCGTACAGCTTGGTTTGGAGGGATTTACTCATGATATCAAAGTTAGGGCTCGGACTGATTCTAGAGTACCAGTTGGACAAACCACGCATATAAGATATGAAAGAGTCCTGATGCCAACCACGGAGCCAGCGTTATGGGATATGCTCAATATCGTCACGTGCTGACTCAAGATCAGCAATTATCTGGGGAAAGGTAGACGAGCGGAGCAAGTAC